AAAAAAAAAAAAAAAAAAAAAAAAACAAAATCAGCTAAAATCGAATTCAAACCTATTCGCTCTAATCAAGAAAATCCATCGGAAGAATGAATCAAAGCATAGCTTAAAGAATCGGAACTACAAAATCTTGAAAGGTAATTTTACCCAACGGAAGAAGAGACTTGGGATTTCGAAGCCTTAGGCGCAATGTCGTCGACTAGGAACACAGGTCTAATAGAAGCGTAGAGACGGGACAAGTGGGAGAGAGCGATGGCCGATCGGAGAACTCGATCACTGAGGTCTGTGGTATGGAGGTAGCGAATGACCGATTGAACAAGAGAAATAGCAGCATAAGTGTCTCCGGAAGCGACGAGGTCATCCGATATCTCACGCCAGTCGTGAATCCGCCGCTTCATCTCTTCCTCTATCTCCTTCGCTTCATTTGATTCCATTGATGAAGAAGATGAGAGTTCAGAATCTCTGCGAAAACAGCGCAGANATGTTCCAAAATTCAAAAAAAAAAAAAAAAAAAAAAAAAAAAAAAAAAAATTATCATGCTCGTTGGCAACGAACGAGCTCTGTTTCTCCCCTTCCTTATATAGTTTTTTCCACGTGTACAGTGAAGATGAGTTTTAACTACCATTAATATCCGCCATCAGCTATAATAAATTATATAAATCCAAATAATTATCCAAAATCTTTTAATTAAATTCCGGTTTTTTTTTATGTTTTTTTGTTCGAAGAATATATATAATTTAATCAAATTGTATTTTCAATATGAATAATAATAATATTAAATAAAAATTAAATATCATTTTAGTCCATATATTTCTAAATATCTAAATTTAGTTATATACTTTTAATAAATTTTAAAATTAATTTAATTTGCCTCATAATGATAATTTTATTTAAAAACAATTACGAATATTTCTATAATTTATATTTTAAATTAATTTAAAATTTTGAACGATAAATAATGTTTTGAGTTTAACTAACGCTAATTATTGATATGTCGATTTTCGATATACTGTATTAGTTTGGTTTAAAATTTTGTAAACGCTGAGGTTTGAACCTTTGAATTTATAGTTTATAGTATACGTTTTATATAAATTGAACTATACTCGGTCAGTGATAATAAACTATTAAATATATAAAAGAGAAAAAAATTAAAAGAAAATAAGTTTTTTTTTTTTTTTTTTGTAAATAGCCCAAAGACAAAGGGCCCATGGACCTTCATGAAAGTGCAAAAAGTAGCAGACCCACTTTATTGAAAATTGGTCTAAGCCTTGACTTAGCGAATCTCGAGTGCAATGTTAAGGAATGATACATAAATGAATCGAGACTGCATCAAAATGAGAGTGATCCTAAAGATACGATGGTTAATAAAGATTTAAAAGAATGGAAAGTCACCCCTATACCAACAAAGTGCACCTTCCTTTTCTGTGGCTCAATTATATGAACTTCATAGTTAAACATGTTTTTTTTTGGACTAATTATATGTTCGATGACCTCTTGAAAATTTTCAAGATAAATGTGCGGAAAGGACTCGTAATGATTTGTGGGGAGTAAGTAATGTAACCATGTCACAAGAGAATGTCAGGTCCATCGAGTGTCGAGTGCTAAATCTGGTAGGCATCCGAGCCTCATCATTAACCAAATTTCCTAAAACTTAATTTAGCGTATGAACCAATTCAGTTACACGTAGCTCTACCTTTAGCTATATTTATAATTATTTGCAATATCATTTTTTATTTTATAATAATAGATAATTATACCATATTTAAAGGTAGACATAAAATTAGGTTTGAAATGATTTGTGATGAAAAAAAAAAGCCTTTTCTTTGCATAATTATGAGAGGGGTATAAATGGGAATTAGATAAAAGATTGATGATTGTGAATGATAGAAAATATAGGTGAAAAAGTCGGCAAGTAATAATGAGCAGTCATAATCAATGTTCTTCCTTTTTTACCCTTATCCATTATTTTTTTCATTTTTTTTTTACTTTGAATTATATATTTTTAATTTTAATTTGTATGTAATCATTTAATAATTTTTAATTTATATAACTCTCTATAATTTGACATTATGATAATATTTTTCATGATACGACGATTGTGTGTGTCAGTTACTCTCACCACCCAGTAAGTCAACCAACTAGAATTTGGATCGCCATTGGCACGGGCAACGTATACTCAAGCATCTAGCCCTGTTCTTCAGAAAATATTATAGAAAATGGAGATAGAGAAAATATAACCGCCCAAATCCACCGCTAGTAGATATTGTTCACTTTAACTCGTTACGTATCATCATCAACCTTACAATCGGAGAGCGGAATAACGAAGAGTTGACTATATTGAAAGTGAATGCAAAAATTTAGAGGCATGAAAGGGGATATGTGGAAAAGAAAAGAAAAAAAAGAGAGAGGAAAGAAGAGAATCATTGTCTGGCAATGCCACTTTGTAGTGTCCAATACCAAATTATTACAAAATTCCTATGGTAAAGTCAATGTGGAAAAGTTGTAAACTATTTGCTCTAAACACAATCATTGATATCCCATCAAAAACCCAATTCCCCCTATGGCCTAGTCCTTGGCCAAGGGTAATTAAGATGGGTCAAGTCGAGGCAGGTTTTATGCTTAAAGTAGATGGTATCATATCATTGTTGAAACGAGTTTAAATATGTTCGTGCATAATCCTGATTTACTACTGGGCTTTGTGAATAGGTGTTGTACTCTAAAAAAAAAAAAGAAACGCCTTGGATAAGATCATACGATCATAGAAGCTAGAGAAGTGAACATGTTTTCTATTTACATATGACAGAGATGATGTGTCGTGTTGCATTGATTGTACTGGTTAATCGTATTAATGTCTAAATCTAGTTGGTAAAAAAGGAACGAGTGTGGACTTTTGGGTGGAGAAAATGGTTCGTGGATAATTTTGTGAGTTTAACAAATTCATAAGTGTTGCCCGATCAGTTTGGTTAAAATATCATCACTGGCCCAATAGGGTTAAGTCCAACCATTGTATGAGTAATTATATTTACGTTAAGAAAATGATTTAGGTATTTTAAGAAAAAACGTTGAGAAATTTTAGAAATAAATTAAGTACTGTCTAGTATAAATACCCTCCACCCTACTGAGTTCATCATCCCAAAAAATCCCAAACAATACAAGTAGTAGTTTCTATAGAGATTTTGTAGATCTCTTCTCGATTCTTATTAAAGTGTGCGAGTGTTTCCCACCGAGAGTTGTATTCAACAAGTTTCACATTGGCTGATTAAGGGTAAGATCATGAGTTTATAAGTAAAGAATACCGTCTTCATTGGTACGGTGTCTTTTACAGAAACTAAAAGTAAAGGTATGAGAGCTCATGCTCGAAATGAACAATATCATACGGAGTTTTGTGGTTTTTAACATGTATCAGAGTCGTGCCCTTAGCATAGTCATGTCAAAATAATGTCGAATATAAAACTCCAACGTGACTACCTCATAATATCTATAGCAATTACTATTAGTCGTCTAAGATGTCTTTGATATTACCTAACAAAAAAAATTTAAATTATAGAAAATGCACACACATGCAACATGATTATGACTATAACGGGACCTAAAATCCTGACAATTGGGGTCCACATAGTCCAATGTACATCACTTTGATGCACATTTAACCTAATGAACGAGCAACGTTTTCATATTTTCGTGACTTGATAAGATGGAAGTGATATCAAATCTAAAATCTAATATCCATTTTAAGATCTCAATCTTTAGGTTATGATTGTAGTAATGACTTGAATATGTTTTTGTGGTCACCATTCCAATTTCAAGTTATTTGTTTTTCCTTTTTTAGGTGTTTTCTTTTTCTTTAAATAAAATAGCGGTATTAAAAAAAAACTCGTACGACTTAGGCTGGATTACGAAATTATTTTGGTCAGCGTGGATTAGAAAAAATGAAAAATTTATGAATTGAGTCAGATTCATGAGTTACACGAGTTGAACCGAACCAAATCAAACCAAATTTTTTATTAATTTTAAAATATATAATTTTGCTCCTAGTATAGGGTTTCCTCGAACCTGCGTTCGAGGAGGCTTGACTCCTTTTCTTTTGGAGTCATTTGTTCAACATTTGAAGATTTACCAATCTATTAGCACGACTAAGTTTAGGGCATGACTCTGATACCATGTTAGACGAACACGACTCTCCACAATGATATGATATTGTCCACTTTGAGCATAAGCTGTCGTGGCTTTGCTTTGAATTTCCCTAAAAGCCTTAGACCAATGGAGAGAGTATTCTTTGATTATAAACTCATGATCATTCCCTAAATTAGCCAACGTGGGACTTTCATCATCCAACAATTTGCATTCCCTGCAATACCGTAACATGTTTCTTAAAAAAAATTCTGAAGGGGTTATCCGAGCACGTTTCATTTTCGAGTTCTTACGATTAACTCATCAAAAAGAATAATGCATCTTGTTTATATAGATAATCGCTATTAATTTTTTAAATCTTTCGCAACCGTAGTTTCATATCATCATAATCCAGTTCATTCATGTCCTTTCCACAATTTAATGTCATCAGGATCACTCTTGTTCATTCACGTATCTCTTATTTACTCCGACGTCATAAATCTAACCTAATAAAGATGAAGATAATGGAACTCGATAAATGAAAGCAATTAAAAAAAAAGTAATTTAATAAAAGAAAAGAATAAGAAAAAAAAAAGGCAAGTGGTTTGGTCGGTTTGACTGTCCTGTTAATTTGGACCCCATATTTCTTAAAGAATAAGATATCCAAACACGTTGGTATATATTAAATGTATGCATAAAACGACTAATCTTTGCATACTAAACGACAACAACAGTGTTTCTAATGTTCATCATGGAGATCGGATAGTCACACCAACCCATTATATTTTGAGTAGGAGATAAGAACCACAAATCAAAACCCTAAAGCCAACCTCATCCAAACATGGGTCAATTCTATCGCATAATTCGAGTAATGTCTCGTGTTAGAATTTGTATTTGGCATCTGATGGGGACAGAGCGAGCTAAAACGTTCTAGGTTGGTTTGTGTGGATAGTCGTCGTTCTTAGGAAGAGTTCAAGTCAACTAAATAACGTAGTTATGTCGCAGAGAATCAAGAGAATATCAAGTCATCATTGTAGGATAACAGTCCCACGTCGGCTAATTTAGGAAATGATCACGAGTTTATAATCAAGGAATACTATCTTCATTGGTATGAGTCATTTTGGAGAAGCACAAAGGAAAGCCACGAGAGCTTATGCTCAAAGTGGACAATATCGTACCAATCATGTGTCAAATCTCAAATTGGATAGATTCTAACCCTTCCGTTTGTGGATAATATTTATACAAAATTCTAGGTCAAGTCACATGTCTACTAGTAGTATCACATTTAGATATTGATTCGCATGTCTAGTGGCTACAAATCCAATCAAATGACATTTTTCCGATTCGTATGGTTGTTGATAAAACAAGTATGATTTTCTGTAGTGAATATTTTAAT